GCTATTTTGGACAAAGAGGCCGAAGACAATGTGAATGCCTGCAAGGAGAAGCTCCGCTTGATGGAGGTTTCTCGAAAGGAGGCCGTCATCGAGGAGGCGAAACGCTTGAAGGTCTTCATTGAAAAACGTAACAATGAGTTCGCTGAGCGGGCTCGCGAGCGACGGATGAGAACTTCCTGTGCTGACTACCGTGACAATAAAGCGAAACAGTTGGTTAAAACTATGAATGAAGACCGAAAAATAATTGATCAATTTAATGAGTTCAAGAAGGCCTACGAGAAAGAAAAAGAAGACAAACTGGACAGTCTTAAGTGGGATTTCATCACTGACCTGAATGGCAAAGAAGAGGAGCGCCTCAAATTAAAGCACAAGAAGGAAATGGAAAATTTTGAAGCTCTGAAAGGCCAGCTAGCTGAACACGAGGCTCAGAGAGAACAGGAAGCCGAGGCAAAGAAGGAAGAAGGCAAGTGGGTGGATGAGGAAATTGCAGCTGTGAAAGCTATTAAATTAGAACAAGAAAAGAAGAAGTTAGAAGCGCAGGCTAAGACGCGCCATATGCTCTCTAGCGCAATTCAGGAACACGTGGAGAGAAAAAAAGAAAGGGAAAAATGGGAGGAGAACTTTAATCAGGCAAGTGCAAATTCCTGGAAGGAGTTGGAGGATGAGTCGATACCCCGGGTGCAACGAATGCACAGACAAAATCGAGAGGCTCGTTACTTCCTGGAGCATCAGAAACAACTTCGAGAGTACAGGAAGTGTGAGGAGGAGATCAGAGATAAACTCATAGCCGAAGATGCCGAAAAGGAGCGTCAACTGAAGAGACAGAGAGAGGCGGAAAGAAGGGCCTTCCTAAAGAAGCTCGAGGAGGAAACTTACGCTAATCATCGCAGTGCAATGGTCGACAAGCAGCAACGTCTGGCGGAGATCAAGAAGATGGACGAGGCTGAATTTAACAAGATGTTGGATGCCATGAAAGAGCAGGAAGTGAAACGCGAAGAGGAAGCGAAGGCAAAAGAAAAAGCCCGTATGGCTATCCGTGAGGCTCAGATTTGCCAGTTGGAGGATCGGCGAAAGAGGCGAGAAGAAGAGGTGGCGAAACTCCAACGTGAACGCGAGGGCTACGCACAGGCGGAGAAAGAGTATCTGGAGCGGTTGAATAAGGTAGCCAATCCGGTGCCGATAGGTGACTTCAATATCCATCCGTGGCGCAAGAAGGCTATGAACTTGCCCATGGACCGGTGATTACATGAACTTTGAGCATGAAGAAGTAGGTAGAGTTCTAAGCAATGGGCGAATACCCAGCCTCTGAATGGGGCTTGAGGTGCGCGTACCATTAAATTTACACAGTATGGTATTCCTCCGATTTAATCATGCCTCAATCCGATGTGCTCCAATTGCTACTTTGGCGAATAAAAATGTTCACGACGTGTCAGCTAGCCACTGCGGTGGTCTGGAAGCCGGCTGATAGTTCTATTATTTGAAAAGACAATTTCTGGAGAAAATAGCATCGAAAAATAGTACAAGTTTTGCGTGGCAAGTAGACCAACTACACATTAGTCCCTGGAACCAAAAAATATCTATCCCCATCA